CCAAAATTTGGTGTCAAAATATTTTATAGAAAAATAAAATAAAAATAAAATAGTGTAGAGACGTGACATTGAAATTGGGGCAATCTTAGCCCTTCATTCAAAATGGAGGGTTGGATAAGGGGGAGGATAGAACTTCTATCCTTGGGAAACATAGAAAGCTTGCCCAAACATGCAACCTTTTGAAGCTATCTTAAAGGTTGTGGCTTGTATAAGGTCTCAACTTTAAACCATTAAAGACATACTTATAAATAATTTTAGAAAAGATGCAATTCAAGTGCCGCAAACACTTACAACGGTCTAAAAATCTATTCTCACATCTAATTATAAAATTGAAAACTCTGAAGTTGTTGTAGATCAAGCATATCTATACATACTCAAAACTTTTGAAAATGAACAGTTTGAATGCACTATTTTCAGAACTTTAAATCATCTTTTTTTCATATTCATATATCTCGAGATTGAGATGATCAATAGGGCTTTTTGAATGTCAGAACAATATTTCCTATACATTATTTAGGTGCACATATTTCTTTTAGATTATTTAGGTGAACCTTACTTCTATAATGTTGGGTTAACACCTTATATAAAATTTTTTTTGTCTTAAAATATGCGGGAAATATGTCTAATTAAAATAGAACATCGCAAGAAGTAAGATTTCTTTTAACATTAAAAAAAAACAAAAAGTAAGGTTGCTGCCTTATATAAACCTGACCCCCTACAAAAGTTGAGAATATATTGTTGTGAGTGAGTTTACTAAAAATTCATTAAAAAAATTTTATAGATAACAAAATCATTAAATGAGGTATATTTGAAATGTTTACAAAAGTAGAATGTTATTTCTTGAATTTAATTTTCTAGGATCTTATTAGTACAATACCCTTATCCTTCAGTGAAAAAATCACCTTGCGCACCTCAAAAAGTTGCTTTCCCTATTGAGCATATATGTAGCATTAATGCTATCCAAGGACAGCAGGATGCATGGCAGTAACTTTTCAAATGATGACCTATAGTTGGGGTTTTGATTTCATTACCGGCCAGTAATCGTTTCAGGGGAATTGCACGGCCAAACTGTAAGCAGGATAAAGTTAGATGAAGCATTTGCAGTTAATCTGAAGCCCTCTAATCTCACCATTTAGCGGTGCAATCAAGTAAGTAAAAAACCAGCCAGTGGTATGCTCTTGAAGCTCAAGGTTACTTAAATTCATGTGTGCTATTTCATGTCATTGACGCCAATAAATCCGACAATTCTTATTATGGCAATCATAGCTTCATGGCAATGGAGTGGTACCCTTTTCTCTTCACCAATACTTCAAATATGGCCAATATTCAATCAATGATAATAAAAGGTCTTTCTCCACAGTAGAATCCAACTATGTTGATGTTAAATATTATAAATTTGGCAAGGCTTCTGTAGCATTGAATGAATGCAAGAGGGCCATTAAATATAACGGTGTAAATGGGCAACATTCCGTATGGATCATCCAAACGTGTCCAAGGTCGAACCATAACCCTTTTGGGTCTAGGTTGATCGGTCCTTGACCTGACCTATCGGGCCTATATAAAAATAAAAAATATGTATTATGCATATATTACAATATACAAATATATATTATACTATACAAATATATTATACAAAAAGTAACGGAATGGGTTGGGCAAGGCTAGATCCAACCCAACTCTTGGGTCTACACTTTTAGAACCAAACTTGACCCTCCATGCCCAGAAGTTGGAACCAAACCCAAAATCAAGTCAACCAATTGGGCCCACAGGTCGACCCAACTCGATTGAAAACCCTAATCAAACGCTTCATATAAAAAGTCAATTTTAACCGTATATTGCATCCAAGCAGTAAGAAATACACCCTACCCAATGCTCAAGGAGGGATATTGTTTGTTGTGGGTTCTTAATTTAAGTCCTTTTCCAAATATTCGTGAAAATCCAACGGTCGTCTAAGAACATTATGAATTGTTTGGTAAAATGCTTGCAAAGATTCACTAAAAGACCAGTTGATTACCAGAAAAACAGAAATGGAAACAAAGATTCCATGAATTCAAATTTGTTCAAAACAAATCAGGAATCATTGATTTTCAAAATCTATAGATTCTGAAAGTTTATGGTTTTCAATTTTTCTCCCATGGGCCCTTGAAATATTTTAAACATCACGCCTTCTTAAAACGTTTCTACATCAGTTTACAAACACGTGAAAATAATCATTCAAATCAGTAATCATTAATTCCAAAATCTATAGATTCTTAAAATTTATAGCATGTTTGTTTTATGTGAAAAATAATTCTCAAAAAATATTTTCACATAATTCTCAAAAAATATTTTCACGTGAAAAAATTCTCTCATATTATTAGGTATGGGAGTATTTTCATATTAATTGGTACCAGTAGTGCATCTTTTCACACCAATTGACATCTAATTAGTGTAAAAATATTCACACACCTAACTACATGAAAAAAAAATTTCACATGAAAATATTTTCATGCGAACCAATCGTGTTATTAGAAATTTCAATTTTTTGCATACAGCCCCTTAAGTTAGTTTGAAAATCAAAGCTCGTTATAAGGATCCTTAAAGAACGGAATCTGTTTACCAAGAAAACGAACTACAGAGCGACTGCAGCAAACTGTGCTATAAAACCACCAGCAATATAAAAAATGAAATAAAAAAAAAAACTCAAGAACCATAACTAGACACCATATATGGGATCCTTCCTAAATAAATAGGCAAAACTAATAAATAAAGGGTGTGAACCTTAAACAACCTCCGAATTTCATCATAACATGTAATTTTGATGTAAAAAATTTTCAGGATTATCTAATAATCTACTTTCATATCTAATTGTAAAATTTTAAACTCCAAAAATGGTTAAAAACAAGTAGATCTATAAACATATGAAAATCTTGAAAATAGACCGTCTAAATAATGTATTACAAGATGCACTATTTCTGGAACTAAAATTTTTTTTTTTTTCATATTCATTAATATCGATGTTAAGATGATCAATTAAAGGGTTTTTCAACACTAAAACAATCCTTTCCAATAGATTTTTGAGGTGCAGCTGTAATTCTACATTTTAAGGTTGCAACCTAATAGAAAGCCTTAGCTATGCCAAAACTTCATTCCACACAAACTATAACGGATATTTAGTGTAAAGCACTTCGGGCATTAAAAATCTCCCTAAGCTGTGCCAAAACTTCATTCCACACAAACTATAATGATATTTAGGGTAAAGCACTTCGGACATTAAAATCTCCATGCTAGCTTTAAAATCAATTTTCAATGCCAGCTATGGGATTTGAAACCCAAAAATGGTACCAATTGCAAGTATGTGAGTACCTATTTTTAAGAAATTATAGACCGTCTAAATAACGTGTTACAATATACATTATTTTTTAGAACTTGAAATCTTGATTTCTTTTCACATCCATAGTAGTAAAGGCTGAAGTGATTGACTTGAAGTTTTCCAACGTTATAACTGTAATTTTTGATGAATTTCAAAGCGAAACTTTACTTATTTTAATAGGGCTCAAAATATTTTCCTTCAAAAATTATCATCAATATTTCATATTTTATGCCCATATCCCAATTTTTATAGCACATAAATATACAAATTAATACTTTTCTATACAACAAGCACAAATTTTGGGTGCCAGTACTAATCACCATTATCAACTTGTAAGACATACAGAATTTATAATTTTTAATAACATTTGTATTATATATTTTGGGCAATTCTAATTTTTATTTGTGGGTCACTCTAAAATGCTTCACACTAATGGTGAACATAGATTTTAGTATTCCAAAATTGTTAAACCATAAAACACCCTTACATGGTTAAAAATGACTTTTTATTATAAATATTTCATATGGTATTTTGATTTTTTTTAAAAAATCCCTTCAAAACTAGATTCAAAAAAAAAAATTTAATTAAAATTGGACTTTAAAAGTGAGCCCTTCTCAAAATTTTCAAGTGCCAATTTTGATATACTTTTTAATATTTGTGAAAGCATCTAATGTCAAAAAATTTGGAGTACTAAAAATTCTAAATGCACTAATAGTGCAGTGAATTCTAGAATAACCCTTTATTTAATTATATTTTTATAATTTTTATAAATGAAATGTAGTTTGGATAGAGGAACACTTTCCTACATTTACATCCCCATAGGTATCAAACACCCATATTGAAGATGGATGTCATGTCGTGGCCGCTCTTTTTTAGGAAAAATAATCTAATGATTCAAAAACTTTCTACAACTAATCTTTGTAACTTTTAAATATATTTATTTTTTTACAGATATCCACATTGACTACATATGTCCAAAAATTTGGGGTCTAAATTCCGTCTAAAAATAGATCAAAAAGAGGCCGCATATCTACATGCGACTCATTAAGTTTTTGTCCTCTAACAAATGACTCGTAACGAAAAGGTGGGGACAAAACATTTGTGCTCACTCAATTGTATAGAATAATAAAATAAAATTGATTTACTAGGACAAAATATAAAATATTAGAACCACCTTTTAAATTTCAAAAAATATAAGGTATACTTATGTAAGTTTCCAACAGAAAAAAACAAGAGAACATGCAAATGACAAAAACATATTTGCCAAATAGGAAGAGGGAAATTAGCATGGTTCGATTCACGTGAATGATATAAAATGGAGCATGGTTGAAGTTGGAACTGGACATTCTCCATTCCTTCATGAAAAGTACTTTTTGGACACATCCTTGATGAAAAATACTTTTATCACGAAACAATGTTGTTGGGTTGAGATATGCTAATTCCTTTCCCAAAGATGCAAGAAATGTTTGCTCCCATAAAACCCTCTCTATCGCTTCTCAAAAATGCAAGGAATTTCTTGACATCGAGAACCCGAGTGTGTGTGAGAGAGAGCATAACCACAAACTAGAAACCTACATTTTCATTGTTATACTCCTCATTATGAAAATCAATAAAAAGTGAAAACTTATCAACCCCAGCAGCTCCGATGTTGGACAAAAACCAAGCCATTCTTTAACAGCGAAAAAAAATACGCTAAATGGCTGCATTAAAAGAGGCCAGCCATCATTTAGCAGAGAGCCCTGCCAGAAGGCTGAGTATAGAAAGAGAGAGAGAGAGAGAGAGAGAGACGAAGTCACCTTAGAACCCATATATGGGTAGGACCAAGGACACCCAGTTTGTATGTAATATATCAGTTATCCATAACTGCCACAGCGAAAAATTATTTTATAAAACCCTTCCCACACAGGAAGGCTTCAAGATCAAAACCTGGCAAATAAAAAAAAGGGAAAATAAAATAAAAGACCCAAATTAATCCAAGACTGCACTTCATCTGCACACTCAACAGATTGAATAAAATTAGCTTAAAACTTCAGAAAAAAGAAATGAAAATTAAATAAATGAAGAGAATTTCATAGACAAATTGCCTGTTCATGAGGATCAATCTTGAATGCTTATGGATGTTCAGGACTACAATGCGTTTTGTATTTTGTCGATTTAAAATGTCATGTTGCCAGACAGTAGAATGCACGATCAAATGACCAAATGCACAGAAGCAAATAAACAAACCACGCACAACTACATGTAAGGAAGAAACTCCTTATGATCCACGCATGCATCTATAACAAAGAGAGATAAACAGGAACCTCAAACTGAAGAGTCCTGAGAAATAGATAAAGAATGTGCATGTATATGTGAGAGAGAGACGAGAAAGCTATGATCTAGGTTAAAGTTGGTACCCAGAAACAATGAAAACATGCGTATGTATGCGTATCAACAATCAAAGTTAGGGCAATGAAGATTCCAAAAAAACCCATTAATGAAGAACACACGGTACATGTCAAGCAGTTCCAGTGTATTTTGATGCAAAAGCACATGAGAGAGAGAGAGAGAGGCATAAATATCATAGAGTGGTACCCAAGAAACCGCAGTTCTAGAAATTCATCAGAATTTCCTGAAAGCATTCAAGATATTCCTAGCCTTATGCTAAAGTGCATATCTAAAACAAATAGGATAGTTGATTTTACAGCTCTATGTCAAAAGGAAAAGGGAAGTAAATTGGGATAGCAATGGTATCCCCTCATTCTCATGGGTACCGAGCCCATTTCCTTGGAATTGTATTTGTAATTTTCACTGGGGAAGTGTACTATGATTTATGATCATAGAGAAAAACTGTGATCATAAGCTTTTATCAACATCCAATCTACCGATGGGCTTGATGGAGAGAGGGTGGAATCATCAAAATATGACAAGGTCCACGTGGTAAGTCCCACTCTCTCTATCGTCATCCAACAAAATATTGGAATATGATAATACTTACGATAATGTAGATCATGATACATTGTCCCTTTCCTAACATTCATGAGCAAATTAATCTTGTGATTTCTCATAAACAAATTGTGTGAGCAATAAAAGAGCTATATAAGTACCAGTTTTGTACTCACCCCAAAATGTGGATCTTCACCATGCTCAGGATAGTAAAAGGGAGGATTTATCCTTTCTTCTGCCTCTGCTCAAGAAAAAAATGCTAACCTACATCTATACCGCCATTTTCATCTCTATTTTCTTGTGGGGATCATACCCCAAGAGTTGAAAATCTTCGCCCACAAAAGAATCGATATCTTTCTTCAGAGGATTTATCTTCAAAACCTATATACACACAACATTGTAAAGTCTGAGAAATTTTTCTCCAAGGCTACCATTTTGAAGGCTGAGAATTTTGCCGCTAGAGAAGAATAATTTGCATAATCCATTTCATTACCGGAAATGGTTTAGGCAAGTTTTGAAGCTGCTCTAGTAGTGGCCTCACATGAGTCCTGTACACATGCGCATCTCCAAGAACATGGATAAAATCACCAGGAGTAAGATCTGCACACAATGCCAGATAACCAAAACCAAGGTTCTATACTCAATTTCAGGCTTGTAAAGGGTTGTATGTCATGATGGAATTCACATAAGAGAACAGCAGATCTTCTAGCCAAAAAGAATGTATTAAGAAATAATTTGCAACAGTTCACCAAGTATAAAACATTAAGAAATAACTTGAAATCGTTCACCAAGTATAAAACATTCATTTGAAATCACACAAGAAAGGACTATGAATATAAAATTTTGCACCACATACCACAGACGTGACCTATCATGCGCGTCAAGAGAGAATAGGAAGCAATGTTGAAGGGCACACCAAGACCCATGTCACAGGAACGCTGATACATCTGGCAAGATAGCTCCCCATTTGCTACATAGAACTGCAAAGGGTTTTATCTTTTTCAATAATTAATGAAGCCATAAGATTTTGTTAATGTCCACAAAAAGCTACCAAATTAAGAACAAAGCAAAATGCAATACAGAATATTTTGTCACATGTCTTCGAAACTACAAAAATATTAGAATTAAAGAAAGATGTAAGGGAGAAAAATTTTTACATACCTTTTAAAGTTTAAACTATAAGTTTCAATAATAAAAAGAAAAACGAAAATTACACAGAACATGTCGATTATTAATTCATGATACGAGGTAAATTTACCATTCATATATAGGTGTTTTTTTTATCTGAGCAGCTTATTAATTTACCCTCTCTCTCTCTC